CTCCCGATCCATGACTGCTACCAGCCTCCATCTTCAGCTCCAGGTGAAATAGGTAAACTCAGATGTGATGTGGGAAGATGACTGTGCTTTGGATGAATGGAGACGTGTTGGATTTAGATCAGCTGCTTGGGAAGCAGGCATTGTGCTGGGCAAGAAGGTGAAGGTTCTTCAAGGCCATTACGTATCTCAGCCTAGAAAGATGAGAGTGTACAGGGCACTTACTTTAATTGATTGACTTCACAATCCTTCTCTCTACTGTTTAAATCCATTATTATTAACCATTATTTTTGTCTTTTTTATATTCTGATACAGAAGTAGTCAAAGTTGGTAAATCTTTCAGAAGATATGAAGTACATGTCATTATTTATTGAATTGGTGACTTTGACTACTATGACAGGATACTACTTATAAGGAGTGAGCCCTAAGACCAAAGATCTAAATACAAAGAGTAATATTAGTATATTCATATATTTTGTGTCTATTTCTTATAGTAATTATGTTAATTTGTCTTAAGGAAAGATACTTCATGTATTATAATTGTCAAGGAGTGAAAAATATTTGCTAAAAGCTTGCTGAGTTGTGCCCCTACTGTAAAATCTTTTAGGCCTCCCAGAGTGCTAGGATTACAGGCATGAGCCACCTCACCCGGCGGTGTCTGGTTTCATAAAGCTTCGGAATAAGAGGAGAAAATAAAGAATGAATCTAGAGCGGACCCGTCTCTATACAAATAGGGAGAATTAATTGGCCAAACTAATATATACAGAAAAAATATAGCTGGTGCATGGTGCTGAGCCTGTGAGTCCCAGCTACTCTAGCTGAGCAGAAGGTGCTTGAGCCAGAGTTTGAGTTGCTGTGAGCTAGGGCTGATGCCGACGGCACTTACTCTAGTCTGGGCAACCAAAGTGAGACTCTGTCTCAAAAAAAAAGTAGTTTTTTTTTGTTCACCTCATTTAATTACAGTAATAGTTAATTGGTTTCTTCGTCAAGCGTATTCTCGACAAACTACTCCTAAATTTTTTAGTGACAATTTGCATTGATCATTTATGAAATAATCTGAGATGCAAAAAATTTTGAAGTAATTTTTACAAATATCCATGCCATTACATATTTAGGTTTTTCAAAATATTAACAGCCATATATTCATTAGTATCTTCTTAAGAAAATATGTGGCAGGTTCAAAGTCAATGTCCATAAATAATAAATATAGGCAGGTAATGCCACGCTCTTGTGGGAGGCGCTAGTGGGAAGATCACTTGATGGCCATGAGATTGAGACCAGCTTGGGCAACGTGTGGAGACCCCGTCATAAAGAAAAGGATAAGAGATAAGATGTTACAAATACACATTGGATTCTCCTTTGTGCCGCAGTCCAGTTCTATTCTTTCTCCTTTTTTCCCGCTGGAGGATAACTGTGATTTGGAAGTTTTTTGACCTTTCCTCACCCATGTTTTATATTTTTATTTGGAATTATAGCTGTTCATAGCAATACTAGATGCTGTATTATGTTTGTGTTTTTAAGATGTATACAGTGGTAACATATAGTGTGTATTGCTTCTGTAATTTGCTTTTGTCACTGATAAATGTTTTCTGAGAATTATTCATATTGTACACAGAAAGTCTAGATCATTCATTACTGCACTGTCTTATTCATGTATGAACACACCCCATGTAGTCATTCTATCTTCTATTTGTCCAGATCCCCCTCTTCCTGTTTTTTCCCAAAATGGGCAAATATATACAGAGGAAAAAATATTCCTTTCTTAAGTATTTGAAATGGCTTTTAAAAAATGATGTAGTCCGGTTGTCAGTCCTGCCCTGGATTTAACTTGACTGACGGTCCATGAGATGGGGACGAATGAAAAGGGAATAAGGGGGAAAAAGATAAAAAAAAGATATAAAGAAAAGAGAAATTGAAAAAAAAGCAAGCTGGAGCTCAGATTGATAAAATGTAAAATTGTTAGATTCAATGTGCTGAATGATGTTAAATTGTGCTGTCAGAATGCCAGGTACGGACAGGCAGTGGTGGCTAACGCTTAATCCTAGCACTCTGGCAGCTAGGCGGGGAGGATCGCTTGAATTTAAGGAGACCAGCCTGGAGCAAGAGCGAGATCCCATCTGCTACAAATAGAAAATTAGCTAAGGCATGGTGGTGTGTTCTGAAGTCTCTGGAGCTGAGGCAGCAGGAACACTTGAGCCTAGAGTATGAGTTGCGTAGTATAACAATGGGCTGCACGGTGGCTCACCCCTGTAATTCTAGCACTCTGGAGGCCGAGGCTGGTGGATTCTCAAGGTCGCAGGAGTTCAGAACCAGCCTGAGCAAGAGCGAGACCCATCTCTACTTATAAAAATAAAAGAAATTAATTGGCAACTAAAATAATATAGAAAAATTAGCCGATCATGGGTGGCCCATGTCTGTAGTCCAGACATTCGGGGAGGCTGAGCAGGAATTGCTTGAGCCAGGAGTTGAGGTTGCTGTGAGAGTCTCCTTTGTTGCCCAGGCTAGAGTGAGTGCGTGGCAGTTAGCCAGCTCACAGCAACCTCAAACTTCCTGGGTCTCAAGCAATCCCTGCTCGCCTCCCGAAGTACTGGGACTACAGGCATGGTGCCACCATTGCCTGGTCTAATTTTTTCTATATTTTAGTGGCCAATTAGCTATTTACTTCTATAGTAGAGAGGTCTTACTCTTGCTCAGGCTTGGTTTCAAACTCCTGAACCCGAGCAATCCCCCGCCGGCTCCCAGGAGTGGCTAGATTACAGGCATGAGCCACCACGCCTGGGCCAAAGTCATTCTTACTTTGAAAAGGCATCAAGAAAAACGTGCACCTTTGGAAGCCAACAGATTCACTCCACAACATTCTGTAATGAAACCAGTTAACTATCAGGAAGGGAAAAAAAAAAAAAAAAAACAAAAAAAAAATGGATCCACAGCTACTGCTTGGGGAGGGTTACTCTTTAATTTGTTTTCCTTTATGTAAAATGACAAATGTGGCAATGAATATGAAAGCACTTAAAATGAAAAGTTTTTTTTTCTTTATGAGACACAGTTCACTCTGTTGCCAGGTCTACGAGTGAGTGCAAGGTTCAGCCTACTCACAGCAACCTCCAAACTCCTTGGCTAGCAATCCTGTGCCTCAGCCTCCGAGTAGCTGGGACTACAGGCCTGCAGCACCATGCCCGCTATTTTTTTATATATTTTTAGTTGCCAATTAATCTTTTTTTAGTAGAGACAGCCTGTTTCACTTTGCCTCAGATTGGTTTCAAACTCCTGATCTTGAGCAATCTGTTTCCCTCAGCCTCCCAGAGTGCTAGGATTAAGGTGTGAGCCACCCGCCTGGCAATGAATAAGCATTTTTACCTCCAGTAGATGAATGTAGTAAATGAAATTGTTTCATGGATTATTTTATCCATCACTGATTTAACAAATCAGGTAGTGTATGCCCTTACAGGCTCATAGTAGGGAGACGGTTAGGCTCCATATGGAATAAATTACATTAAATTTTATGGAAATAGGCAAAAGTGAAAGAGATTACCATGAGATCATAGATTTGGCAATGGACAATTGGATCTCTCCATCCGGCAGTAAGAGTAAGGCCTGGTTATAACTCCTAACCGCCTCTTTTTCTTCATTTGGAAATTCTAAAATTGTATCCACAAATGTACCTATTTGTAAAGCAGTAGTAATTATTCTAAAACCTGGGTACAATGGGAAAATTGTAGAGCCCACATGGAATGCATTCTTATTACATCACCATTTTACAGTTACGTGCTTGATTGGAGTCCCTATGGGTATACTGCTTCCTCTCTTGCAATCTTAAAAAATTTCATTGGAATAAAACTGCCACCTCGATGTTTGTAAAAGACACTGGCTTTCAAAGTCACATTAGATGGCTGAATGATGATAGGAGCCCCCCGGCCCCTCACATTTTAAATGGCCTTATTGATGATCAATTGTGGAAACTGTTGGCTGCTCTGCACCCTCTATGGGCCTGGTTTAGCACACAGAGATTAGACACAAACTGTAGCTGAGAGTGGCCTTTTCTTTGAACTCTACTCATTATATATCTAAGCTTGTGTTAAACTGTCTTACTTATTCATGATTGGGCCTGCTGAGTATAATGAATCTTCCTTCCTTGTGACCTATAACTACTGTTCTTAATATACCTATATTGACAATTTCATAAAATTTAATCCTTACATAGAAATACTTTATATTCTCAAAGTCAGAATGGGGCTGTGGTTACCTATTAAAGTGAATAGAGTCTGGCAAGAAACCCCAGCAATGTTCCTTTTAGACAAGCTACTTAACCACATTCTTTTTTTTTTTTTTAATTTTTTGTTTTTTTTATTTCGGCATATTATGAGGGTACAGATTTTAAGGTTTCAATAAATGCCCATTTCCCCCCCTCCCCCCAACTTAACCACATTCTTAAACATGCTAAAGGATTTCTTGGTCCCCTAACAGCAGCTATTTTGGGAATAATTGCTATGATCGCCTCTGCAGCCACAGCAGGGGTGGCTTTTCATCAAACCATGCAAACTACTGAGTTTGTTCATAATTGGCATCATGAATCAAATTAATTATGCTCCACACAAAATCAGAGTGATAACAAATTGGCTACTCAGGTGGCCAACTTACAACAAGTGGTCACCTTACTGGGAGACCAGGTTATAAGCCTACAAAAACAAATTAGACTCTGTTGCGATTGGAATATCACTCAATTTTGTGTTACACCTCCCATATGTAATCAGACTCGGTTTCCTTGGGAAAACAGTAAAAAACATCTACTTAAGGAAATTTGACTGAAGAAATTGGAAATTTACAACAGGCAATATTAAGTACCTTCAGTCACAGACTTGATCTACTCTCTGAGTCTGACATTATTAATAGTATTTCATCTGTAATGGAGTCAGCTAACTCATTTTCTCTTCTTAAAATCTATGGGAGTTCCGCTATAGTAACTTTTGGAATTATTTTAATCATTTGCTTGTGCTTACTTACAGTCTAGAGGAAACCCCAAAGAAGAGGAGCCTCCTGAGACCAATGTCTCGTAGTGATGGCTATTGAACTTCATCAACTTGCTTCTATAGAGAAAGGGGGAGATGTTGGGAAATAGGGCTAAGAGACATGGAAAGTTTAAGGAGTTTTGCAGTACTTTTGTCTTGAAGGAATTTCTGGGCGTATTACTTCTCAGACCAGAAGCTGCTTAGCAACAAGGGAGACATTCCCCTCATCAGGGACGACTGCAAGGCAGTACCGATCTCAAGGCCTGCACGCCAGCAGCTGGAGCTTGTGCAAGCAGAGCTTGGCATAGGGCCCAAGGATAAGAAACTGATTGAAAAATGCCAGCCCAGCAGACAACTTTCAGCCGGAACTATCATAAACTTCAAGGCTGTTCCTGCTTCACTCCTGACCACATGTCTCACTGTAGAGAAACAGATTAGTTTGTAGGCTCAGTGTTCCTGCCTTATGCGTTTTTATCTTTAACTTGTATGCTAAGCTAGGTCTATTCTTAACTTTGGGCTTAAAATGTTTATCTCAGAAAAATTTTGTGACTATTTACTGTTGTAGACAGAATTAGGTAAGGGTCCCTGGAAACCCTTGGGGAGCCTCGAAACCTACACAGATGATCTGTACACATGATTCTATGATTGAGGACAATATCTTGATATACCAATAAATACTGACGTGGCACTTCACTGTTGGCTCATGGGAATGCTGGAGGACCCCTGACTCTATGGGAGTTCCGCTAGCAACCCAGTCACTGTAAACTACACTTTGTGTCTGTCTCTTACTATTTTCAAATCTCTGGTGACAATCCTGCCTGGGACCTGTCTTGGTTGGGTAATAGGTAACTCCTGGTGGCATCTAGGCAACTGGTGAATCAAGCAGGGTCCTAAAGGCAGAAGGCTTCTCTGGAGTGAAGGAGATTCCCGAACAGCATTGCAGAGACCTGGAGAAGGCTTGGAGCTGCTGTGTCCAGGAAGGGTGAGTTCAGCTCTGGGGATTTTTCAGTCAGGCTAACACATGGGGCAGAATCAGTCTAAATTGACTCAGTACATTGAATTGTTGCAGACTCTATTACAGAGTTCTGGAGTGGTTGCCAAGCAGAAAACTTTCAAGGAACTGTTTCATTTAATTTCCAAACGCTGTCATTGGTTTCCCCCTCCAGTACGCTCAGACTGTGGCAATGGAGGCTGGCCAGCAGAGCGCTGTGACATTCACAAGGCAGAGGAGAAGAAGTCCCTCTTTCTTGTGGCAACTCTCTCCTTAATTACTCAGGCTCTGCAACCGTTTCAGTCAAACTCAGACTGGCTCACTCCCATCCTAAAATAAAGGCAGCGACAAATTGACCCTGGCTATCATAGGGAAGAGGAGGTGCTATTCTATGGTCTTCTGTATGAATCAGGCAAGGATGAGAAAAAGCCATTAAATTCGATTATTGGCCTTCAATACGGGTCTATAGAACAAATAAAAGAACAGAAAAATTCTCAAGATGTGTTTCTGCCTCCTCACTTTGCTCCTTATGAGACTGAAAAAAGGGACAAAACATCAGCTAGAGATTTACCTGGCTTCCACTCCCTCCCTCTTGGCTGCTCTGAGCACCACCCTCAGCACCACTGCTTTGTTATGCTGATTTCCCCCCCAACTTGATCCTCCCTTTATTATATTTTTTATTTAATTATTTTCATTTCATCTATCCCTACGCATTGTATAATCCTCCCTTTAAAAAGGCCTTAAAGAAGTCCCCTAAGAAAGGAAGGAGAGCTTTTTTCTTTTTGAGACAGTCTTGCTCTGTTGCCTGGGCCAGAGTGCCGTGGCATTAGCCTAGCTCACAGCAACCTCAAATTCCTGGGCTCAAATTTGTTGGGGCCTTGCCCGAGGCCCCAAGAAAAACAATATGGGAAACAGTCTTGTCCAACAGCTCCTGACTTGGCAGCTGCAGACTCAGGAAAACAATGTGGTGATGGATAGCCCTGGCCAGCAGCCCCCACAACATTTCAAACTTGGATTCCCCAAAATTAACAGTTACTGACTTGTTGCCTGCCACTAACAGGAGCACAGCATTAGATCTGCTGTCCCGTGATAATGGTCTTCTACCGCCCTCTGCTGGCATATTTAAAGTACCTACAGGTAGGTATATTTGGTCCATTTCCTCTAGCCACAGGAGGGTTAATCATTGGCTGGAGTTCTCTTACTAGGAAAGGAATTTCAGAGCATTTGGGTGTGATTGATTCAGACTATTCAGGGGAGATTTCTGTCATGATGAGTTCCACTTCCCATTATCATATGCTGGCTGGAGACCGTATTGCACAACTTCTGTTATTACCTTATCTGCAAATTGGAAAATCTAATGTTCAAAGACAAGGAGAGTTTGGAAGTACTAGAATTAAAGTATACTGGCAAACTTTCATTAATGGCCAGAGACCTCAACTAGAGATCAAACTAAATGGCAAATCTTTTATTGTAGATACTGGAGCTGAAGGCGTTTGGCCGACCACTTTGCCTTTACAACAGATCCCCCTATTAGTTAATGTAATTAGAACTATGATTGATATATTTGAAAGTCAACAAATATTAAATTGTGTGGCCCTGATTAACAGCCACTCTAAAACCTCTCGTGGCTGACATAGCTGTTAATCTATGGGGAAGAGATTTGTTACAACAATGGGAAGCTTAGATCAGTATACCCACTCTATCTACTCCTGCTAAACAAATGATGCTTAATCTGAATTATAATCCTTGTTTTGTTTTGAGTAAGGAAGGCCAAGGGGCTAAGACTTTTGTGGCACCCAAAGAGCACTCTTCTCGACTTCATTTAGGCTATCCAAATTTTGGATAGCGGCCACTGCTGTTGAAGGGCACCACTATGCACTGGCTCTAAAATGGATATCACAAGAGCCTATATAGACAGAGCAGTGGCCACTGGACCAGAAAAAATTGGGTGCTCTTCAAACGTTAGTAGAAGGACAGTAACAAGCAGGACGTATAGAGGAATCCACCAGTCTGTGGAACTCCCCTGTATTTGTTATTAAAAATAAATCTGGTAAATGGCAAATGTTAACTGATTTAAGAAAGATTCATTCAATTATACAACCAATGGGGACTCTTCAGCCACGACTTCTCAGGCTAAGATCTCTAAAGATTGGTATATTGTAATAGTGGATTTAAAAGACTGCTTTTTTACAATCCTTTTACAAATATCTGATTGAGAAAAATTTGCCTTTACCTTTCCAGTTTTAAACAATCAGCAAGCAATTAATGATACCAATGGAAAGTCTTGCCTGAGGGCATGCTTACTAGCTCATTGCTGTGCCAACATTTTGTCAGTCACCCTTTGGAAATACTACAAAAGTGTTTTCCCACAGTTACTCGTTATTTACATGTTCGTCTAAAAAATTAGAACAACGATACCACCAGGCCAACTATGTAATGCCTCAATTTCCTTTAATAATTGCTGAAGATAAAGTCCAACAAAAGATTTGCCATTTAGTGTGATCTCTAGTTGAGGTCTCTGGCATTAATAAAAGTTTACCTATATACTTTAGTTCCAATACTTCCAAACCTTCCTTGACTTTGAAGATTAGATTTTCCAATTTGCAGGTAAGGTAACAACAGAAGTTATGCAATATGGTCTCTAGCCTGGAGATAATCCGAAGTGGATTATCCGAACTGGAACTCATCATGACTGAAATCTCCCCTGAATAGTCTGAATACATACTTGTTTATTCCCAGACTGTGCCTTATGATCTGCATTTGCCTGAAGTAGTCATGCCTCATATGCTGATAACAATTCTGGGCACAGTGAAGCCAAATGCAAACAGGTAAAGAGAGCAAAATTAATAAGCCTAACATATTTGTGATTGGTTTTTGAAGAAAGAATAGCCTATTTTAAATTTCAATAGGATTTTTTAAACTACATATTTAGAATCTTGTCTATATCCTCATGGGATTATCACATCAATTGATATGTGTTCCCATATAATCTTAAGTGCCAGGGTCACTCACCACTAATGGTAACCACACAGCCTAGCCAACATCTATAAGCACAGTACTCCCCTGCATAATAAAGCTCATCTCACAGGAAATTACGAAATATATATATCCTCTGCCTCTGTCCATATATATGCATGCTTCTTCCCAACAGAATGTAGAACTTAGCATACCTTATCCTGTGCACACAGCACTCGTGATTTGTCAGTATTCATTAACATCTGCTCTCCTCCACCCACAACCCATGACATACAGAACCACACCAGTATCCTGGCCTTATTAAGGTAATTGCACTGGAAAGTTTATTTTATTTATTTATTTATTTATTTTTTTAAATTTTTAATCAGCCTAGTCACAGTGTATGGAAAGTTTAATTCCAGTAATGCTAGAGATGGAGACTGAGACTGTGACAAACCAAAACTAATTCTGGCTGATATGATGAAGGGTAGTAAGCTGAAAAAATTATTCTTTGCCCTGTAAATTCTATGAGGAATTGCATGGAAAAAAAAAAATGCTTAGAAGGCTGGATGTGGTGGCTCATGCCTGTAATCCTAGCACTCTGGGAGGCCAAGACAGGAGGATTTCTTGAGGTCAGGAATTCAAGAGCAGCCTGAGGGAAGAGTAAGACCCCATCTCTGATAAAAATCGATAAATTAATTAGTTGTAGTAGTGTTCACCTGGAGTCCCAGCTACTTAGGAGGCTGAAGCAAGAGGATTGCTCCAGCCCTGGAGTTTGAGGTTGCTGTGAGCTATGATGATGCCACCGCACTCTACCCTGGATGAAAGAATGAAACCCTGTCTCTAAAAAAAAAAAACAAAACAAAACATTTGCCCCGGGGAGTATAAGGAAAAGCAGTGAGTTGTTCTTAATTGATTACGCTTGTTTACGTGAATGAGTGTATGGTAGTTACACACATACATTAACGTTTAGGTTTTGTTGATAAGTTAGTAAGTATTTACCAAAAATCCCTTAGTCATAACTTTTGCGATTCTGTTCTATTCTGTTATTTATCTTTCTCTACGTGTATTAAGAAGCAGCCCTGCCAGGCTTTGGTGGCTCATGCCTGTATAGCCGTAGCACTTCGGGAGAGCTGAGCGGGTGCATTGCTTGAGTCAGGAGTGTCAAAACCACGCTACAGCAAGACCCCGTCTCTTACTAAAATAAGAATTTAATGCGGGGGTTGATTGCCAAGTAGATGTTATTTGTTTGGCTGGTGAATTGGGGTGGATCTGTTGTTGTTGGTGGGGTTTGCGTATGTTGTGATGGGTGACTAGAGAAAAATAATTAGCCGTCGGTTGTCTGTTGGTGGTGTTTGGGTGTGGGTTCGTTGGTGGTGGGTCTGTTGTGGGGTTGGCGTCGTAGGTGTGGCTTGTGAGGCTCGCGGTGGAGGTTGGTGGGCCACTCAGGAGGCTGAGGCAGAAGGATGCTTGAGCCTAGGAGTTGAGGTTGCTGTGAGCTAGGCTGACGCATGGCCACTCTAACCCAGGCAATAGAGTGAGACCCTGTTTAAAAAAATAAAAATTCAAATTTAAAATACATAATAATATATAATTGCAACTGAAAATGACAAAACAAATATTTTACAAAATATGTAAACAGTCTTACTGCAGTTAAGTAAAATATTTAAATATGTATTGCTATCACATATGTTATAAGAAATTTCTCATAACCTATAGCAACTTATATAATATTTATATAAATATTGTTAAAGTATTTAATATTTATTCAGTCATTTATCCTCCAATCAACATCCTTTAAACCATAGGTATTAATAATTTGCTTTAAACTAAATTTCAATATAAATTTGGAATATGGAACCAGCAGAGAATCTTATGTAATCTGACACTCAATGAAACCAAGCTCTTAGGAATGGCATTAAGTAGACTATGGTAGGCGGTCTGATAGTAAGCTAGATACTCATAGGCTAGGAGCGATGTGTAGTCTTTATGAGCTTTGTGGTGTTGTTGTGGGGTGTATATCTTCTATTGTTTTTTGTATTTATTTGAGATAGATATATTGTTTTTATTATTCTTTCTATGATTAGGGTAATTTAGGGTTGATTGTGTAGTTTTGTTGGTGGGTTGTTTTGAGATCAGTTTAGTCTATCTTTGTGCTCTTGTGAGCTAGAGATGTGCGCGTGGGCGCGTCAGCCTGCTACAGCAACCGCAGACTGCCTGGCTCAAGCCGATCCTTCTGCTGCCAGGCCTTCCCAGTAGCGGGACTACAGCATGCGCACCAATGCCGGCTAATTGCGATAGTTATATTCTATCCGAATACGTCTGTCGTATATAGTTAGAGACGGGGGTCTGGGTCGGCTCAAGGCTGGGTCTTGAGACTCCCGAGCCGCGAGCAATCCAGCCCGCCTCGCCTCCCAGAGAGTAGATACAGAGGCATGAGCCACCCGCCCTGCCCTGATTTATTTGTTTAGAAAGAGGTCTTGCCTCTGTGCCAGCGTGTCCTGACCTCCTAGCCTCAAGCAAGCCAGGCCTGCTGCAGG